TTTGCCATTTTTAACCTTTCTACGGGGGACATGGCAATAAAGCGATTGCAATCACTCAATTGATGCATGTTATGGCAAACAGTACACTCGTCATTTCCCGTTGTGTCTTGAGACTTCACCACAAATGCTTTCCTTATATTCACTGGTTCCTTAGGTTCTACCATAGAATGCAAAATGCTGGCGAATTTTCCCATCGCCTGATTGACACTGTCCTTTACCAGTTTCAGAATATCATCAAACCTTGGCTCAATACCCTCATCCTCCATACGGGAGCTTATCTTCACCCATTTCCTTTGCAGTCGAGTAGGTAGGCGTCCTGCTATTACCTCCAAGATTGAGCTTGAGTTCAGATCACTCATGCAATTCATCGAAATCAACGTATTCTTATAAGTCATTAGATTATCCATAAACTCAGTAAGTGCCTTGGAGTCATCTTGTAATTGACTGCCGTTACCTTTGACAGCTTCGAATACGTTCCCTACAATCATCGAAGGTCTTCCAAACCTTTGACATAATATGCTCATAGCCTCAGTATATCCCTCATTAGGGGGCATGAACTTACAGCACTGTATAGCTCTTGAAGCAACTCCAGTGCAGTACCTCATCAAATACATGAACTCCATTTCATCGTTTAATGAAAAACATGATTTCAAACTATCTTACAAACTGTAAATAGTAAGCCGGGTTTCCGTCGAAACACCGACGTTCATACTTAGGGAGCTTGATGTTCCCATTATCCCTGAACGGCGAAACAGTAGCATCAAACATGTCAGGCTTAATATCAGACACATCGTTACAAGTAACAGACAAGTCACCATGACTTACATTCCTGTTTGCATTCAAGACGCTCTGTCCCTTCTCTGACCCAGGCATTCTCAAACTTGACCCCATTCCAAAAAAGGTCCAGATATTGCTTGTCCAAAGAAGACTTGGCCAGCACCAGGAAAGATGAACGGTGACAATCCAAAGACGTGCCAAAAGTACAAAACCGTTTAAAGCAGAAACTGTTAGCCACGCCACGTAAACCGTCAATGCCCAGCTCTTGCTACACTGGAACTCACGCTGTTCCTTGAAGTTTCTCAGAAACGCTTAGTAATAACGGACGCAAAACCAAAACACCGATTGGCTACTCGAGAATTCTTTATTGTAACACCGATATATAGCCAACTTTAAAATTAAGTTTTAACTAAGGTCTATGAACAAATATTACAATAATAAATCACAATATTACTTCTGACGGTTTTGTACGTGCGATTGTCATCACCCAGTTGATGCGTGTTTTGGCAAACAACACACTCATCCTTTCTCGCTGGGCCTTGAGCCTTTACTACAAATGATTTCTTTATATTCACAGGTTCCTTAGGTTCTACTTAGAATGCATTATGCTGGCGAATTTTCCCGTCGATTGGTTGGAGTTGTCTTTCACCAGCTTCATAATATCATCGAATCCAGGCTCCAAACCATCTTCCTCTAGTCGGGAACTAACCTTTAATAACTTCCTTTGTAGACGAACCGGTAGTTTTTTGATAACTGTCTCAAGCATCGAACCTGCGTTCAACTCATCCATATTGTTAAGCTAAAAGAGAGTGTTTCTGTACATCATTAAAATTATCCAAGGACTCTGCGAGTTCCTCGGGTTGTCTCTTAACTGCGCCCCATTACCTTTAACAGTCTCAAAAATGCTACGGGATATCATAAATCGCTTTCCAAACCTTTGACGTAATATGCTCAGAGCCTCAGTGTATCCCTCATTAGGAGGCATGAACTTACAGCACTGTATAGCTCTTGAAGCATGATTTTAAACTCTCTTATAAAATGTAAATAGTCAGCTGGGTTTCCGTCGAAACACCGACGTTCATATTAAGAATTTTAAAATTTCTATTATCCTTAGCTGGCGAAACATTGACATCAATCTTATCATGCCTAACATCACACACATCAATACATATAACAGGCAACTCATCATTGCTTACTTTCCTATCTGCTTCCAAGACGCTTTGTTCTTTCTTTGACGCAGGCATTATTGAACTTGACCAAACAATCCAGAAAAGTTCCTGAGAAGACGGGCGGACACGAGGGAAGACGAAGAGAAACTATCAGAAATTCTCAATGTCCAGGTCTTACTACACTGGACCTCATGCTGTTTTTGGAAGACTTTCAGAAACAATTTGTAACGCGAAAAACCAGAACACAGATTGGTGACTCGAGAATCTTTTATTCCTACGCCAATATGTACCCAACAACAAGGTTATTATACACAAGGTCTAAGAATAAATGTCAGCCACGTCTCGTAAACCGTCAATGCCCAGCTCTTGCTACACTGGAACTCACGCTGTTCCTTGAAGTTTCTCAGAAACGCTTAGTAATAACGGACGCAAAACCAAAACACCGATTGGCTACTCGAGAATTCTTTATTGTAACACCGATATATAGCCAACTTTAAAATTAAGTTTTAACTAAGGTCTATGAACAAATATTACAATAATAAATCACAATATTACTTCTGACGGTTTTGTACGTGCGATTGTCATCACCCAGTTGATGCGTGTTTGGCAAACAACACACTCATCCTTTCTCGCTGGGCCTTGAGCCTTTACTACAAATGATTTCTTTATATTCACAGGTTCCTTAGGTTCTACTTAGAATGCATTATGCTGGCGAATTTTCCCGTCG